AGCGTCACGTTGGATAGAATGGGAAAGATATTTAAGGCCCGTACGCCTATCGTGGGAAGATCTTCTTTGAGCTTGGACACCGTAAGTGATTTGGATCCTCGGGGCGTCATGTTTCACAAATGTAAGGGGCTTCTAGGGGTGCCCAAGCTTCGGTAATATCTTATGATATATGAAGGAAGTTTGAATCCTGAGAATGTCAGAGCATAGTGAGAACAAATTGTACCACATCCGACCTTGAGCAGTTCTTATTGTTAGTAGTGTACGTTTCATATGTAACGTACCTCTATATATAACGTACGTTTTATATTTGTATCAATTCATCTCGTTACCATGTATATTTTATATATCAACTTTATACAAAAGTAAATTTAATCGAAAAGATGTAATTTTTCTTTTTTTTTAATCTTTTTCCGTTATTTCATTAAACAATTTATATCTCGCGTTTAAAAAAAGTTAACAGATTTTAAATTAAATAATATATGCTATCTTTATTGCTCTGTTTGCGATGACTACAAAATACAGATTTATAAATATAAAATACTATACATTGGATTAGGACAAAAAAATGCAATATTTAGAGACGCGTTATAAATATGTTACTCTAATATAAAGATTAATGAAATAATCTATCTCCAAATTTTATTACTTTATCAGTGTATAATAAAAGCATAATTAATCAGTCAATTGTGACCAATAAAACACATAGATATAATAATCGGTGCGAATGTTGTAATTGTAAAATATTGTTAATTAGTAGAAATTAAACCAATTATATTTTAATAGATATTATTAGCCAATTTCATAGTCGCATTATTCTCAATCGTATGTGCTAATTTGAACTTAAATAAGCAGAAAGTTTTCACGACTTATAACATTTTCGGTTCTTCTATTCTCAGAATGTGACAAGCGTCAATAATTATGACGAGAAAGTATCGATGAAAGAAAAGACAAACTCTTTAGGAAGGATGCTTAAGCTCGTCGACAAAGACGGTTCGCCCAAAAAACTTTTTGTTCGCCCCCGGGCAGGATCGCTGAGTCGTATACTACGTAGGCATCCCCATAATGAGGACAATGGAGTTACCGATAAACCAGCGGAGGATACCGGGCGTGGAATTTTCTCCAGAATGCTCAACCAATTGAGAGGAAAGTAAAGATTCAAAGAAGAAACTTGTCGAGCGATCTTTTATTAGCAGCCGGGCGTGTCTTGTTGTCGATAGATCGACAAACCTCGCTTAAATCAATGATTCCCAGAGAGTACAGACAATAAATAATTTTCTTTGAAACGTTCAAATCTTTTATCTTACTTTGCCGGAAATATTTATAATATCATTATCGTTATTTGATATTATAAGTAACACATTTTACACGTAAACAATTTGATGAAACATATATTGTTTATATACAATAATAAGTTTATGTGACATTTTGAAATCAGAATTAAATAAATTTATTATCTAATAAATTTATATAATAAAACTATTTTCTTAAATAATATTTTTCTATTTTTATTTATCTTTTTATGTACTCGCGCAATGTATTGATGATAAATATGATAGAGGATACAGGAAATAAAAAATTATAAAGATTATTGGAAGAGCCACGTTTATTATGCAAGCGTGTCCCTTTTCTCTCGTATATTTGAATAATGCGATATTGCGGGACAACCTGTGTCCTCCTTCGTGTTTCGCACGAATTGTACAAATTCTCAGATATACACTTAATATGTATTATGATATTACGTGACAGAAATAATTAAACGAGTTTGCGAATTGTATCGTTAGGAGAGACATGTGATTCTTCATTCTTGCGCATCGGACTGTTCTCTCTCTCCTCTCGCAGCCGATACAAAATAATATATTTACAAAAGAGATTAAACTCCTACGTCGTTTCTTTGTGAAAAAAATCGCGGCGAAACTTCGTCGGCAGCTTCCCTTTGCTTTTTTCAAACACATTCAAATGCTGCTCCGCGCATGTCAAAAACACATTCGCAGCCACGTGATTTTGTCGTCAAATATTTCGACTAAAAAGCACCTCGTGTTTGATATTCGTTTCTCACAGAGAATCGCTCCTCTCTCTTCTCTGAGGATGAGGGTCCGTGAATTAAGTCCGACTTAAGACCTTAATGTAAAGCTATATACAAATATTGCCCTGCAGGATACGCACGCTTTGACACGCAATACATTAAAATCTCGTCCCGCAATTTTTGGATTTTAATGTCAACGGTTGATTCAACGGCAACAATTGGCACTAACCGCGAGCGGTAGCGATAAAAAAGAACGATATCTCGCTATCAATTCATTTTGGAAGACCTACCGCATCTGTGCCTGGGTCTTTCATTCATCGTCCTTGATCGACGATCATGATTTATCACAGAATAAAGTAATGCAAAATAGTCCAAGCGTTAAACTATTCGTAAATTTAACGATTTAATGCACGTCATTCCCACGTCTTTAACGTGACTTTGTCCCTAAATTAAAACCTAACGAATCTTAACCATATGAATGAAACAACAATGATTGCACAAAATTGCTGATTTTTTTTTTTAAGTTCTCACGTGCGAATATCTAAAGATGGGATTATTTCTCCTTATAATTAACAATCTGTCTTCAATTTTAAAAAAAGAAATACATAAATGCATCCTTAAATTATGTAACTATAATCCACGTACATTACGGCGCAGAATTTTAATTTTGTTAATTAAACGAAGGATAGTTTTCAACATTATTGATATTATATCTTAAATAATGATCCTAAAATCTAGTTAAAATTAAAAAGGGAATTTTTACAATATTAGATAATTATAGTCTAAATGAAAAAAATTATTGATAACAATAACAAAATAGAAAATATTTAAGCTCAGCTATTAATACAAGAAACCAATTATAAATAGTCTTTCATTTAACCAGATATCTCGCAAGTCATAGCGTTGAAGAAATATATATTAAATTGATCAAATATTTTACATATTCAATAACGTCATACAAATACACACAACCTTATATGTCCATATAAATTTTGGTTTTAAAATAAACATATAAAAATGAAGAGCTGCAACGCATGCAGATCAGCAAATAAATTTATTTTCGTCAAAACAAATGCTTTAAATATATTCATATCTCATATCCATATTGACGCATAAAAATACAATAGAAAAATTTGTTATCTAAAAAATCCCTGTCTGAGTATTAAAAAGGATCATCGATCGTCGAATTATTTTCACAATAGCATTTAAATGAGCGCTATAGTTCGGATGTGAAAGCAACATTACAAGCAATAAGAATTGATGTTAGAGAGAAGATCGGAATTACTAAAAATTCATTATCTCTCTCTCTTTCTCTATCTTCCTTTAATACGTCTTCTGTGAATATAAATTGACATTGATAGTAAGATGTAGGAATATGTTAACAGCATTATAATTACTATCGATGTGCGTACGTACATGTGTATGTATAATACAGTTATATAAGATTATTTTATGAGAAATTTCGATAAATCAAACAGAATTTTTATTAATCCGCCTTGAATAATTTAAGGATATAATAGAAGCTCTTCACTCATATTGTATATTAATAATTAAGAACAGATTGGCACAAATTTCTAATTTTGTCTCACATTATAATCATGCCAATCTACTTAATAAGAGCGTCACGTTGGATAGAATGGGAAAGATATTTAAGGCCCGTACGCCTATCGTGGGAAGATCTTCTTTGAGCTTGGACACCGTAAGTGATTTGGATCCTCGGGGCGTCATGTTTCACAAATGTAAGGGGCTTCTAGGGGTGCCCAAGCTTCGGTAATATCTTATGATATATGAAGGAAGTTTGAATCCTGAGAATGTCAGAGCATAGTGAGAACAAATTGTACCACATCCGACCTTGAGCAGTTCTTATTGTTAGTAGTGTACGTTTCATATGTAACGTACCTCTATATATAACGTACGTTTTATATTTGTATCAATTCATCTCGTTACCATGTATATTTTATATATCAACTTTATACAAAAGTAAATTTAATCGAAAAGATGTAATTTTTCTTTTTTTTTAATCTTTTTCCGTTATTTCATTAAACAATTTATATCTCGCGTTTAAAAAAAGTTAACAGATTTTAAATTAAATAATATATGCTATCTTTATTGCTCTGTTTGCGATGACTACAAAATACAGATTTATAAATATAAAATACTATACATTGGATTAGGACAAAAAAATGCAATATTTAGAGACGCGTTATAAATATGTTACTCTAATATAAAGATTAATGAAATAATCTATCTCCAAATTTTATTACTTTATCAGTGTATAATAAAAGCATAATTAATCAGTCAATTGTGACCAATAAAACACATAGATATAATAATCGGTGCGAATGTTGTAATTGTAAAATATTGTTAATTAGTAGAAATTAAACCAATTATATTTTAATAGATATTATTAGCCAATTTCATAGTCGCATTATTCTCAATCGTATGTGCTAATTTGAACTTAAATAAGCAGAAAGTTTTCACGACTTATAACATTTTCGGTTCTTCTATTCTCAGAATGTGACAAGCGTCAATAATTATGACGAGAAAGTATCGATGAAAGAAAAGACAAACTCTTTAGGAAGGATGCTTAAGCTCGTCGACAAAGACGGTTCGCCCAAAAAACTTTTTGTTCGCCCCCGGGCAGGATCGCTGAGTCGTATACTACGTAGGCATCCCCATAATGAGGACAATGGAGTTACCGATAAACCAGCGGAGGATACCGGGCGTGGAATTTTCTCCAGAATGCTCAACCAATTGAGAGGAAAGTAAAGATTCAAAGAAGAAACTTGTCGAGCGATCTTTTATTAGCAGCCGGGCGTGTCTTGTTGTCGATAGATCGACAAACCTCGCTTAAATCAATGATTCCCAGAGAGTACAGACAATAAATAATTTTCTTTGAAACGTTCAAATCTTTTATCTTACTTTGCCGGAAATATTTATAATATCATTATCGTTATTTGATATTATAAGTAACACATTTTACACGTAAACAATTTGATGAAACATATATTGTTTATATACAATAATAAGTTTATGTGACATTTTGAAATCAGAATTAAATAAATTTATTATCTAATAAATTTATATAATAAAACTATTTTCTTAAATAATATTTTTCTATTTTTATTTATCTTTTTATGTACTCGCGCAATGTATTGATGATAAATATGATAGAGGATACAGGAAATAAAAAATTATAAAGATTATTGGAAGAGCCACGTTTATTATGCAAGCGTGTCCCTTTTCTCTCGTATATTTGAATAATGCGATATTGCGGGACAACCTGTGTCCTCCTTCGTATTTCGCACGAATTGTACAAATTCTCAGATATACACTTAATATGTATTATGATATTACGTGACAGAAATAATTAAACGAGTTTGCGAATTGTATCGTTAGGAGAGACATGTGATTCTTCATTCTTGCGCATCGGACTGTTCTCTCTCTCCTCTCGCAGCCGATACAAAATAATATATTTACAAAAGAGATTAAACTCCTACGTCGTTTCTTTGTGAAAAAAATCGCGGCGAAACTTCGTCGGCAGCTTCCCTTTGCTTTTTTCAAACACATTCAAATGCTGCTCCGCGCATGTCAAAAACACATTCGCAGCCACGTGATTTTGTCGTCAAATATTTCGACTAAAAAGCACCTCGTGTTTGATATTCGTTTCTCACAGAGAATCGCTCCTCTCTCTTCTCTGAGGATGAGGGTCCGTGAATTAAGTCCGACTTAAGACCTTAATGTAAAGCTATATACAAATATTGCCCTGCAGGATACGCACGCTTTGACACGCAATACATTAAAACCTCGTCCCGCAATTTTTGGATTTTAATGTCAACGGTTGATTCAACGGCAACAATTGGCACTAACCGCGAGCGGTAGCGATAAAAAAGAACGATATCTCGCTATCAATTCATTTTGGAAGACCTACCGCATCTGTGCCTGGGTCTTTCATTCATCGTCCTTGATCGACGATCATGATTTATCACAGAATAAAGTAATGCAAAATAGTCCAAGCGTTAAACTATTCGTAAATTTAACGATTTAATGCACGTCATTCCCACGTCTTTAACGTGACTTTGTCCCTAAATTAAAACCTAACGAATCTTAACCATATGAATGAAACAACAATGATTGCACAAAATTGCTGATTTTTTTTTTTAAGTTCTCACGTGCGAATATCTAAAGATGGGATTATTTCTCCTTATAATTAACAATCTGTCTTCAATTTTAAAAAAAGAAATACATAAATGCATCCTTAAATTATGTAACTATAATCCACGTACATTACGGCGCAGAATTTTAATTTTGTTAATTAAACGAAGGATAGTTTTCAACATTATTGATATTATATCTTAAATAATGATCCTAAAATCTAGTTAAAATTAAAAAGGGAATTTTTACAATATTAGATAATTATAGTCTAAATGAAAAAAATTATTGATAACAATAACAAAATAGAAAATATTTAAGCTCAGCTATTAATACAAGAAACCAATTATAAATAGTCTTTCATTTAACCAGATATCTCGCAAGTCATAGCGTTGAAGAAATATATATTAAATTGATCAAATATTTTACATATTCAATAACGTCATACAAATACACACAACCTTATATGTCCATATAAATTTTGGTTTTAAAATAAACATATAAAAATGAAGAGCTGCAACGCATGCAGATCAGCAAATAAATTTATTTTCGTCAAAACAAATGCTTTAAATATATTCATATCTCATATCCATATTGACGCATAAAAATACAATAGAAAAATTTGTTATCTAAAAAATCCCTGTCTGAGTATTAAAAAGGATCATCGATCGTCGAATTATTTTCACAATAGCATTTAAATGAGCGCTATAGTTCGGATGTGAAAGCAACATTACAAGCAATAAGAATTGATGTTAGAGAGAAGATCGGAATTACTAAAAATTCATTATCTCTCTCTCTTTCTCTATCTTCCTTTAATACGTCTTCTGTGAATATAAATTGACATTGATAGTAAGATGTAGGAATATGTTAACAGCATTATAATTACTATCGATGTGCGTACGTACATGTGTATGTATAATACAGTTATATAAGATTATTTTATGAGAAATTTCGATAAATCAAACAGAATTTTTATTAATCCGCCTTGAATAATTTAAGGATATAATAGAAGCTCTTCACTCATATTGTATATTAATAATTAAGAACAGATTGGCACAAATTTCTAATTTTGTCTCACATTATAATCATGCCAATCTACTTAATTATTAATTACATATAAAGTTATACAGTATTTTTTAACGGATTAATATAAATTCTGAAAAAATAATGTTTACTGTAAAATGTAATAAATCTTCAGTAATCTCTGCAATCATTTATAAATTTGGGGTTCATAATGTGACCGATGTAAAAATGCTCATTCAAAAATACGACATCGATGAACACAAATTCTTTTTTTTCTTAATTCATATTCTTCGAAAAATCTAACGAAGAAAATTCAACTAACTCCGATTACAAAAAGAAGTTTATCTACAACATAATCACTTACGTTTACTACGCCCTGGTCGAGAGTACAAAATTAAGTACATTTAAGCTTTTGTATATATATATATATAGTCGCAAAAGCGACGTTTAAATATCGGAAATGATGATGCGATTCTTCGACTTGTCCTGCGAACGATCACTATTCAAAAATCGGTCATTAACTTTAAAATTAAGATCTATCTTTCTGAGAATTTTATTGCTCAGACGGTTAATTATGTTTACTGTAGTTGCTTTATCTCGGAAATTCTATTATATTCAACAGCGACCTCAATTTGTAATGATGGAAGGGGACAATATATATCACTCTAACGACTCCAATCGATTATCGATTAATTACATACACGCACGCGGATATTACATCACACGTATACACATACACACACATATACACACACGTACCGTGATTCCTTCCAGAAATGATATGGCTTCTACGAAAATGCGAGTTTCTTGTTCCCACTGATATTGTTTCGCCCATCTCAGAAAGAAGGATCGATCAAAAGCTCCGCACATCCACACCCGCTCGTCCTTGAGATTTTTTTTTTCTTTCTGTAGATAATTTGATTTAACATTAACGTTATTACTTATTAAATCATCGTCTAGTACAGCTCTTGGACGGACGGTCCTCTCCACTCCGAACAAATAGCTCAACCAACGTGATCGTCGAACGCTTCGTTTACGCCTCGCTTTTGTAACGAATCGCTTTTAAGCGATTTCATCTCCGATAGGACTATATTAATTCCGTAGAAGATAAACGCGACAAAATGTAAAATAAGCTTTTCCGTCTATTTATAGAATATGAACAAAGTGTTATTGGTGGTAATCTCAGAAAAGTGTTTGCATCAAGAGAAGAACCAAGACGCCAGTTCATACGGATCGATACCAAAATGCTGTCTGTCTTATATATACATACATTGCGATCTAACGAAAAAACGTTCGCTAGACTCATTGCGGATGCGATGTGGTCCGAGGCCCCATCGTGATACAACCAGTGGAATATATGCATTTTTGCACTTGTTATACGATCTATTACATCTATCAACATCGCATGTCTTATCAGCTTCTTGTTACTTTTATATATATATATACAACGGTATTTTATAACTCACTTGGATCTAAGAGCAAACATATATATATATATATATATATATATATATATATATATATAAGTAACAATATAGATATAGATATGTATACATGAGTTTTAGATATATGTATTAATAAAGACGTAATCTCCGGTCGTTGCACGAAACGCGAAACATCGCGCACGCATTTGATTCGTAATCTCACACTCTTGGCAGCATATTCAATTTGACACTCAGTTTCTCATTTGTTATTGTCCTACGGCATCCTCTTTTTGTGCGACATAATTATCTTAATCGTGAAACTATCCTACGTGTATCACGAAATTGAACACGCTCCTCTTCGATATGTAGACGGTAGAAGAATAAAAACAAGTTCGCTCACTTGTTGTTTGATACTGCTATTCGGTATTCTTCCGAAGAGATTTCGGAAGAAATCTCTTCCATCGATTTACGCCTTGCACACAATATCTAATTAATCCAATCAAATCGTGTTATTTTTACGCCATTTGCGTAAAAAAATTTGTATCTTTTTTCTACGTTTTTCTTTTCCAAATAAACTTGAAGAATCCTGAAGATTCGAGCGCCTTTGGAAAACGAGATCCATTTTTGTCACCATCAGTTATTACTCTTAACCAGTAATCGAACCATCACATCCCCGATTCGGCTATTCCTTCGTCATCTGCAAAACAATAAATTAAATTAGAAGAAATTTCTAGTGATTACCATTAATGCTGCTTGTTTTACACATAGCAATCATGCTTGATGCAAGCTACATTGTAATTTTTGTAATTGCAAATAAATCGACATTGTTGTAGAAGCTGTGTGTTTATAAAATAAATTAAAAATAAAAATATATATTCGTTTTTCGAATATCCTACATTTAACATAATCTCTTAATCGTAATGAGAATAACATAACTGTATGAAGACATAATCTACATATATAAATCTTAATCCGTGATCAAAATTTGTGATTAAAAGATTAATATTTATATATTAATAAGGTGAGATTTAAAGAAACTTGTTCCAAACATATTCTTTTGGTAATTGATCAGTAATCTTGGTCGCTGCAGTTATTTCGTTAAAGCTTTTATGCGGAAAATTATGATAATTAAATATAATACATACAGGCAAGCAGTCTCTGTTTTTTGCTGTTAATAAAGCATTATATCAATTTTTAATAAAATTATATATTTTTTCTTCTCTCTCTCTCTCTCTCTCTCTCTTTTCTCGTTCGTGCTTTCACAAGCAATTCACATACCAGACATATATGGTTAATATACAAATTTTGCACATAACTTTTATAACATAAGGTTCATGCAGGGAAAAGGAAAAGCAACGATCGAAATTACCGTCGACGCAGGAGTCGCTGTTCGAAGGTCACCTCTCCTTCTCATCCTCGGCAGGACTCTTAGTGTTTTCGACCGAGCTTCGATTCTTGCCTAAATATCAACAAAGGTCGCAAAAGATTGCAGAAAGGGGGGTGTGAGTTATTAGACGAAGGAAGTGAAATTGCTTTTACAAAAAGAAAAACAATTATATAGTTTTCTCAAGGTACAATACATGTGCTTATAACCACCATCACCGCCCACACCATATTGCCATTACCATAAAAATAACCAATTTATTTATTATTTATTTTTGATATTATTCTATTTTATAAAATATTTTATTATCCTCTTATTAATAATAATTTATTAATATTGATATTCTCTATGAAATCTTCAACCTGTTTCCAAGTGCAAGAAAGGACTTTGTATAAGAAAGAAAACAGAGGGAACAAATTATAAATACTCCATTTAAACTTTTTTCAATACATGCACTACGCTCGACCCTCTGCAGCTTCTCAACTTTTCAACAATCGATATTTCAATTACCTATCATGATGCATTCTCTAAATCGCACTTGGTCTTTGATCACCCAACTTACGTCTCGCAATCGTCTCAATTATAATTCAGAATATCTCGATAGAATTTCGGGGCGTACCTTCGAATCCCTGATTGTCATGAATCTCTCGTGGCGGTCCAGTAGTATCCTGTCCTTCCAGAACAGCTAGAAGACACTGATGGATGCAGATGTATTGCTGTTCCGTCTGGACCATCCAGACTCGCTCTTTCCTCATCGCCCAGACGATTCCGAAGATGTCAACGTATTTTGATACGAGAATCTGCTGTAATATTCTATCGAGGGTGATAAAGGTGCCGCTACGACCTACGCCGGCACTGCAATGAACGACTATGGGTCTCTGATCGGGCCTAACACGTTCCCTGAACGCTCGCACGAACCTCGCCAAAGTCTGAGGTGGACTGGGAACGCCGAAATCCGGCCAGGTGGTAAAGTGAAAGTGCTGTATCACTCTCTTTATATCGCCCTGTGACAAGATATTTTGGGGTGACGGGATACTTTCAAGTTTTATTCAAGAGACCGAAAGCGATGCAATCACCAAATAGCGTTTTAGTACATATTTCTAATAAACATAAAAAAAGAAATACAGTCACTCACTCTGCATAACATGAATTCCGTGATGCTCCAATCCGGATAGTGCGTCTCGTTTAGTATCGTGACACAAATATCCCCATAATATACCGGTAAAGTATCCACCGGCCAGTAATGATCGCATTTTTCTCTGCCCTTTTCGATACATCTCGTTAGCATCACGATAGCTCTGCTATTGCTCTCCCACACCATTCGCCAGAAATCGTCGCGAGTCGAATGCAACGGTCCTTGGGTCACGATAAACTCCCTTGGCGAATTGTGACCCTGTTATGTCGAATAAGAAAAATTTCAGAAAAAATTAATACTTGTAAAATTAAAATTAATATTTTCATTATCAAATTTGAATTATATATTTTGAATCATTTTAAATATTTTTAGAAGAAATAAATATTTTATCCACAGTTTTTACGTACCGGAACATAATTAGCGTTGATATAGTCGGAACCTTCTTCATCATCGACAGGTTGAAGCTTGAACCTACTGTGATCGTACGGAAGAATATTCGTAAAGCGATTTTTAGGCCTGTTACAAGGCAAGTCCGCTGCTGTGCAAGGCTGATCTCTTCCGACGTGCTTCAGCTCTTCAAACTCTTCCGAGAACCGGAAGTCGGAATCCGCCGACATTGTACGATAATGCTCGGCAAAATCTTCAACTTTAATAGGCCGGCTGTAATAAATATAATATATTATATTGTGAATATGATACTATAAATTTTGTAATCAACGAGAAAATTAAACTGTAAAATTATCTCTCAACGCAAATTATTCGTCTTCAAAATTAATATAATTATTATTATTATTATTATGCAAAGTACCTAAGAAATATGTCAAGAATTTTAAAAAGTAATAGAAAAATTGAATTAAAGTATAATATTGTATTTTCTTGGCACCTTGTCTCTATGACACTGTCCGGCAATGACAGATTGTCGGTTGCCCTGGTTTCTGTCGTTTTGCGACCCTGACTTCTTCTCCTTCGCATAAACAGCCCAATGCCCAATAGAAACAGCAGCAACGCTATGGCGACGGTGACACCGACTATGATGGCCGTGTTGTCCTTATCTGTTTGACACGCACAGCGAATTTTAAGTTTCGCGATGAATCAAACGATCGCCAAGGATAGTGCGAGTTAGATAGATTTCGCGCTAAAAAAGAATTGTCGCATTTATCTCGCGGGACGTACATAAAGCTTTTATTCCTGAGATCTTACCTGCCAGCAGCAATCCTTGGGCAGACATGTACACAAAATAACGAGGCATGAATTTAGCGAGGCTTTCACTACATGCGCAGTGTACCTCTAAAGCTTTACAAACCACTTGACGTATCCGATGTATGTGCTACCATTATTATTATCTTTTTAATACACATATCTTTATTGTACTTTTAAATTTTCACTACTTGATTAATGAGAGACATCAGATACGTTAAAGGCACGCAATTTCTTTTCCTCATGTTTTAAGACTTTTCACGCGATCGCTCTCACCTGTTTGAATGGGAAAGCTGTAGCTGGTGTCCGTAAATTTGTCTGGTGCTGTAAACGCGCGCACCTTCACCCGATAAGTGGATCCCGATTTCAATGGTCCATTACAGTATCCAACTTTGTTGTCGCAATTTTCAGAACCAATCGTAAAGTCCTCCACAGATCCGTTTTTGAAAGGATAATACGGTTCCATCACCTATACATTTTAATAAAATTTTAGTAAAATTATGACTGAATATAATTATTTTAATAACACTATACGCCATGTATTTTCTGACATAATAGCGTTTATAATAGTAAATAGCAATCGTTTTCTCAATGTCGTACATCTTGTTTTTATAGATCATTAAATCTTTATAATTAATATTTTGTACGTTTAATGTATTGGTACACTTAAGATGCATGAGACAATTGTTTTTTTACAACTATAATAATTATATGTATAAAATATGTTCTATAAAAACCTGCGTAAACATTTTCTTGGTATTTGAAATTAAGTTGTTCAAAATATCCATCGTATTTATTAAACTTGTGTTCATAACTATAAGATGCATAGCAATTTTCCGTGTCGCGCATTCCGCAATAAACGTTGCTTTTAATTTGCTGCGCAATTTCTTTGTAATGGAACGTTAATAATAATACTCATGATATTAGATCACTCGGCCACAAGAAACTGCAGTCAATTGATATGTCCATTAAACACACAATTAATCCGTCAATATCTATAAAATGTTTTAGATAATCGTCTGATGCGATCGTATTTGCATATTTCACGATTTCACACATTATTTTCGATTAAATCTAATAATACGACGTCTAATAACAATAGAAATCGTCACAAATAAAAAAAAAACTGTGACTTGTAAATTCCAAATATATAGTTTTCTTTTGAAAACTTTATTAAAAATTAGTTATATACACTCTCTGCGCTGTTTCCTTTATACGATAGCGTAAACATGTAAATAATAAAATATAATTATATGATTTTATTTTTTTAAATGTCACAGTAAAACCACATCTTCACTTTCGCAATTTCAAATCGCAACTAAATTACGTGTATATCCTTCGGTCTGTGCATAATATACTGGCCGCAGTCCCCGGGCGTTCATGCGTAATCGCGGATCTACGTCATAACGCATACATTTTACGACAATCGTCCATGATCTTGCAAATCACGTGCCGCGTGGTATAATATGTTGCATTGATTAAACGTTTGATCGTTTTTAGAGGGAGTTGCATGGGAGTCAATTTCGCGCTGTCGTACGGTTTCGTACACACACGTAAAAGTGCGCCGTGTCCCGCTCTACAGTATTTATCGCCGGCGTCGCGTGAAAAATCTACGTCGATGCGCGAATATTCATCGCGCTCACGGCGGCCGCATTTTTCCTTTACCCGCGCGTCGCGGGATTTACGGCCGCTCTTTCGGGGACCAGCAGTTCCGGACGCCCGGGTCCGCGCGCGAAAGAACATAATCCCTCGACGGCGGAAAAGCGAGCGAGCCGCGCGCGAGATGCGAGCTCGCAGCTTCCTCCAACACGGGCTTTCGACAATCGGTTCGGCCATTGAGGTAGATTGCCGTCGGCGCAAGTAGCTACGAGACTCGGCTCCTTCCGTCCTCATCCTCTCTTCCGTATCCGACCTTAATGGTCCCCGCGAAGCCGTGCAGAATCCGGAGACGAACGCCCCGAACGCGCCGTGAGTGCCGAAATTGTCTGCGGAAAGAAACGTCTTTACCGTCTGCTCCAGCGAGCGACAAACAGTGAATAATCTCGGTCGCAGTCAACCGAGAGAGCGTCTGGAATGACGTTTATCTTTGCGAGAAACGGCACATTGAATATCGCTCTATCGCCTGGAGGGCGTATTTTGGCGATTCTTGCATGCGCATTTTTGTAGCCCCGATAACGAAATGGCTGCCTGCAACGTTAGTCTGTACGGACTTTATACCGGAAAAAATGTATGGATGATTTTTTTAAACTTTTTTTTTTTTTTTTTTTTTTTTTTTTTTTTTGACATATTGCATGCATCAACGTGATATTGACACTGTTGATTTTTAGAAAAAGAGAATTCTCTACGCACATTTATATTTAACGATAATTAAAATTCAATACTGCATCGGTTTTATAATGTTATATGTATAACGTATTTTTAGTGCAATTAATCAAGGATATTTCGCAACTTAATACGATATCTGAATATCTAAATGTATGAAATAAATTATAAATAAATATATTCTCTTTTAATTTTATAAAAAAGTCTGTATACTTTAGAATTATTATTAGAAAAGCTGTGCAATAAATAAATAAGAAATAAAATTTTTTTTACCTGGTACGGTGGCCAAATGCTATAAGCCTGAACGTCCCTCCAACTGGGCATCTCTAGTCCAGAAGCATTCTTGCTATCGTCTTCAGCGACGATGATGGTGTACGATGTGACCACGCCGTTTTGCTCGCTGAAGTAATTCTTTCTGAATCTAATTTGTATCGTCGTACTACTCCTGCAGACCTCGGTCGGCACCACTTGTGTAGACGGCTTTGGCGGTGCCAGTATCGGCATCTTCTGCTTCCAGATCGCCTCAGGACCAAAGCCGATCTTCGTCTCCGCTTGAATCCGGAAGACATACGTCTTACCCGGTATAAGGGACTTGATGACGCCGCGGAATTCGTTCGGTTTGAAGTCCTGCATCTGGATATACGTCGAACCCTAGTGGAATCACAAGAAAAAATATTTGCGTTATTTATATTCTTCAACGCGCGAAAAGGCGTCATTCGTTGTAATCTCGTTGATATTTCTTTCGCGTATTTTTTAAATAGTTGTATAAAAATATGAATTCTTCAGTATATTTTTTCGCAAAGGGTAATCTTACTTCTAAGTTGTAAGTGATGCTGAATTTTCTAATGATGCCATTTTGTTCCTGACTGGGTAGAGACCAGACAAAGTTGATGTCGCTCGGTTGAATGTCAGTAGGATGAAACTTCTCCACCTTTCCCGGATACGATTCGCTGGTGGTGAAACTGGCGCTGAGCGGATTTGAGACTCTCAAGATAGAGGATTCTGTGCCCGAACGTACAACCAAAGTGAATGTATAATTCCTATGCGGCTTCAAATCAAAGATGGTGATCATGTTGACCGAGGTTATATTTTGTATATAGTTCCCTTCTGTGTTAATGTACTGTACTTCAAAAGCATCATACTCTCCATGCGGTATGTCCCAGGTCAACGTGATCCTCGTATCATTCACGTCAATCGCGTGGATCGCAGTGATCGGTTCGGGATCTAAAAATCATATTTATCTTCGGGCTAATAAAAAGATAGACAGAGTCTTAACAAGATTATTGACTGTTCTTATGTAAATATTAAAAAAAAAAATATTTTTAATTGCATAGATAAATATATCTCAATATAATAACATAAAAATACTAAACAGATATACTCGTATAAATAATATGAATAAATAAATAAATGAATTTATTATATCCCCTTAGCATTATACATATAATCATTATACAAATAACATACAATTAATTTAAAAATACTGTCGATATATAAAAAATGAAATGTTATGTAAAGATATTATTATTCTTATTTAATTGTTTCACTGGGATCTCGCGACAGTGTGTGAGTAAAGTAATAATTACATCATGTATTATGTGTTATATTATAAAATAATACAAGTAATATCTCAAGAAAAAATATGTGATAATACCACGTTTCTAAGTGGATTGCTTGTAAACTCGTAAATTATATTAGATACAGAAATAATAAAAATTTAATCCCCCGATTTTAAACAATTTAAGCAAACATAACGTTCATGAATCATAAATTCAATAAAAATCGAATTAGCATCTATAGTAACACAAGCTTTATTACGTGGATACTTACAGAGTCGGTCTTGTCGGAGGAGAGGTCTGCTCTCCACATTATCGCTTACTGTCCAAACGGTCACGTTATACAATCTGCCAGGTGTTAATCCAACAAATGTAACTTTGGTGTCAGTGTCCTCTACCATACGCTCTTTCGTGGTGTTATTGTCATCACTAATCCTGAATCGGTAGAGATCGAACTTGGAAGATTGTATTGGCGTCGGCGTGTATCGCAACGTCAATGACCCCGGTTGATCCCGGTCGACCACTACGACGACCTCGGACTGGATCAGCGGCACTAGATTTCAAAGTCTCGTTTTTGTTTGCCTAGTTATGAATCGACCTACCATGATCATCTTAATCGCTCATCGTTCGTCAACTTTCAGACGAGATTGCCAAACCGGTCAATGAAAAAATTCTGATAGACAAATATAACATAATAGAAACAGAAAAGCAAACCAAGCGAACAAGATTATTGATAAAGGAAGACAAAGATGTATTTATGTATTAATACCCAGGCAAAATTCGTTAATGAGTTATCAAATAGATGGCGAAAAATAACAGATACGCTAACGAGACCTTACTCGTCGCTGCTAATAGCGAAGAAGATCGATGCACTCACTTGTTCTTGTGGTTAAATTGCTAATGTCGCTGACTAGATCGTAAGACACCGTGTAGACGACGAAGAAGTACTGTACTCCAGGCATTAGGTCGCTCACCAGGACCTTTCCGATTTGTACAGCATTCTCTTCGAAACTGATATCGGATACATCGTTGCTCTCGCTGACGTTCTTCGTTTTGGAGTCCTCTGGATTTTTTATCGGCCACCATCTTATAACGTAGGTCTCGATACGACCTTCCGGTCGCGGCCATTCGAGAGTTACGTTGGTAGAGTCGATGATTGGCGTGATATTTAAAACTGGATTTGGTTCTAAAATGACAAGAAAATTTATTTAAAAATGAGATTGCGCTGTTAATTATTTAAATACATTAATTATTAAAAAATTATACTTACTGACTGTATGATTCACTTGCAACGGATACAGACTTTCGACGCCATAACTGACAGTGTTTACTTGTATAGTATATCTCTCGCCAGGTGTCATATCCGTGACTTCCGCTTCCATATCACGAACGCTTGGGAGTTTGACCCACCTAGGATCGTCTTCCGTACGGTATCTGATGGAATATTCGATAAATATTGAATCCGTTGGAGCTTCCCAGTGCACGACAACAGTGTTGCTTGTGACTTTCTCGATACTGAGATTCTTCGGTGGATGAGGCACTGAAAAATAATTCAACAGATCGTTAATAAATCAAATAAACTTGTATAATTTATATTAAATAAAAGATAAAAAATTTAGAGAATGATTATTACTTACAGACAGCTTGCATATAATCGTGCGGCTCGCTTCGAAGTCCATGGCTAATGGCAAAGACTTTGACCTCGTATGCTGCACCAGGATAAAGATCCTCCAAGACAATATGCGACTCCGTAGTCAGAGTGGTCGCACTTTCTCCGGTATCGTTCCTGTTGTGGGTTACTTCAAATTTTTCCTGCTTAGAATTGACATCGCTCTTCCAGGAAATGTTCAAACCCTTTTCAATAGGCTTCAGATCTTCGATCACAGGACTGGCTGGACGCGTCGCTTGGTATAGGACGGTTTCGTTTGACTCGATTTTATTGCTAATTGCTTGCACTATTATAGAATAATTTCTTCCTGGCAGCAAAGCTTCCAGAGTAACCTGTAGATTTAATAATTACATCAGAGAGAGAAAGAGAGAAGAATAAAACAAAATAACGCGATTGAAACAAATTAGGCAATGGTGAAAAATTATTTTATTCAATAATTTATAAAACCTTTGTTTTATCAGTCGTCAAAGTGTTACTATCGCCACCAATCGTCGTTTCCACCTCATGATATTGTAACTTGTAACTGTCTTGTGTACTGGAATTCTCCGGACTCCAGGAAACATCCACCATACCAGTTTTTTCATCGATCACTGCTCTAAGATCATGAACAGGCAGTGGCTCTACAAATACGAAAAAAAAATCAAGAAAAAATATGATTATAAACAATCATGAGAAAAGAGCATCGGTTTGCGGACAACATACTCAGAGTGACATCCCCACTGGCCGGCCAGCTGGTGACCTTGCCAGAAACCGTCTTCACGACTACTTGATAGGTCTTGCCAGGCTCCAAGTCCTTGAACTCCCATCTGTTCTCGTCGTCCCGGTTTCGCGTGACAGGCGCGAGCCTCCGATTACTACCGAGCGATATTTGATACTTGTCGAACTCGGAAGTTCCATTGGGCGGATTCCAAAACATGCGGAAGGAAGTCGACGTTATGGAAGATTTGTCGAAGGTCACATTGAGGGGACGCAACGGTACTGTACGATACTGAGCTGTGGTAGGCGCGGACGTCTCGTCCTCCGAAACAGTCTGCACGGAAATGTTATACGCTCTACCTGTAATATGAAGACAATTTAGAAAAATAATGCAATTTTTACTGGTTTCGTAAGAGATGGTATGTCAATTTATGTTCAAATATTAATTTTTTAATATTGCGACATATTGCATTTTTGTTTTGGACTTCAATAATCAACAATAATTAATACTTGACTTGTGATAAGCTTTAAACTAAATAATTTTGTTTTTCCAAAATCTGTTGTTCCACAATTTATATAATAGAGTTTATTAATATTAAATACAATATTTCATGCACACAGAACACACACGATTAGTTTGAGTTTATATTTATAATTAATTTGAATATTATTTTATCATATAAACCATATTTGGGAATTGGAAAAATGCGTGAATATAAATTAACAGAAAATTTGCAAATTGATTTGGTTCAAACTTTAAGAGTCAAGCGCGGTTTTACTTCGAATTTTCATAACATACAAGTTCTTTCCTATTATACAATTAGCTTTCTAAGAAATACCGCAGATAACAGTTGTGGTAACGAATTCCGTTGCAACATGTATAATTAAGTGAATTAAACATCTGCAGCATTTCAAGTGTAGAAAACGATACGTTTGATACACAATTTAATTAGACTTAAATAAAAAAATATTTGTGTAATTATTTATCTTATGCAATGAATAAATTAAGTTCTCTAACGTATGGAATTTTCTTTGACAGGTCTGTTTAAGGTCTCTTAAATAGATTTTTTGTTTTTTGTTTTAGAAAAAATAAATATTGATACAATTGTACAATCGTCTTGGAATTCATGAACTGCTCTATTTAATTGCAGACGCGTACTTTCTCTACGATTCTACTTGAAATAGTTCCGCTTCGTATATTTAGAAAAAGGAAACAATAAGACCAATTCAATTTCAATGTGTGTATATAAATATTTTGTAACATATACACATTGTAATTTAAGAGGGAAGAGAGGACGAGAGAAATTGCACGTTATATGATCTGTCAAAAGTTAATAAATCAACAGAAAATTTGCAAATTGATTTGGTTCAAACTTTAAGAGTCAAGCGCGGTTTTACTTCGAATTTTCATAACATACAAGTTCTTTCCTATTATACAATTAGCTTTCTAAGAAATACCGCAGATAACAGTTGTGGTAACGAATTCCGTTGCAACATGTATAATTAAGTGAATTAAACATCTGCAGCATTTCAAGTGTAGAAAACGATACGTTTGATACACAATTTAATTAGACTTAAATAAAAAAATATTTGTGTAATTATTTATCTTATGCAATGAATAAATTAAGTTCTCTAACGTATGGAATTTTCTTTGACAGGTCTGTTTAAGGTCTCTTAAATAGATTTTTTGTTTTTTGTTTTAGAAAAAATAAATATTGATACAATTGTACAATCGTCTTGGAATTCATGAACTGCTCTATTTAATTGCAGACGCGTACTTTCTCTACGATTCTACTTGAAATAGTTCCGCTTCGTATATTTAGAAAAAGGAAACAATAAGACCAATTCAATTTCAATGTGTGTATATAAATATTTTGTAACATATACACATTGTAATTTAAGAGGGAAGAGAGGACGAGAGAAATTGCACGTTATATGATCTGTCAAAAGTTAATAAATATAATACATTTCGAGATTCATGAATTTGATATTGCACGCTCAAAGCATTTTTAACTATCTAAAATATAAAATTAATAATTAATTTGTAAGTTAAAATAAAGATTTGTCTTATAAAATTAAAATTTTTATTTTCATGAATTTTTGGATATTGCTACTATAAAATTTTCGTGGTAAGGTTACTATAAAAAGTTAATTCAATATAAGATAATATTTAAGATTTTGAGATTAAATCATATTCTACAGGACAGATCTTTACTTTAATTCATGAATTAATTATTAATTTTATATTTTAAATGGCCAAAAGTGCACACACACAGTTCCTGTTTTTGCAAAATTGGTTTCTCACAACATAATGTAATAGTGTATCTTGAAATACGTTTACATAATTTATATACAATCTCGTTTATTTGGTATACCCGATAGCGTGTGTAATTACGTGATGGCAAACTATCTGACCTGGAACGAGTCCTTTGAAAGCTGCCTGTGCAGGACCAGGCGGCTCGCCCTCCTTCTCTACGTAGAGAACGGATTCTATGGCGTCCGGTGGATCTATACTAACTTTATAATGCGTGTATATTCCGGCAGGATAAGGCGGTTGCCATAGCACCAGCAGCGTCGTTTCGTTCCTGAACCAGACGATAAACTTTCCCGGAGTATTCGGTTCTACAAATAATTCAATGCGACACATTTTTATACGAAATTTAAGAGAAAAAAAAATTACTTTTGTATTATTCTCAATAATATATACTTGTCGTAAAGTTCCTGCTGGTGTAAGCGACGCTCTCCTTGGCGTCCAGCACGGTGAAGAGCTGAAGCGAGTACGTGGCACCGGGAGTGAGATCTCGGAGTGTATACGGCACCGAGTCGACTGGGATGACACTGGTCTTGGGATTTCCGGTGTCACTGAAGCTCTGCGTCCGCAACCGGAAACCGGAATAATTCCCTTGGGCCGGAGGTGACCAATATACGATCGCGGTTTTCCCATTTCGCACCGATACCGTCAAGTTTGAAGGCGGATCGGGTGCTAATGTGAGAGAACAAAATTATATTTTAATTGACTTTTCGCGTAAGAATCCGCTTATCGTGTGTTTTTTTTTTTTTTTTAGCAATTAATTTAAGAAAACAAATTGCACTTTTAGCCGATAAGAAAACAAATGGTCCATATCTATTACAAGAGAGCACCGTTAAAAAAATACGCTATTAAAAATAATCATCGCTGAACAATATCTAATTGCGTACGTGTCGTAATCGAGGCGGTCCACGTCAGCCAGTCGTGAAGAGTACTATTGCTGTAGTACAGCCAATATTCGTATCTCGTCCCGGGCAGGCCGTCCTTAAACTTTATGACATCACCGATCTCGGTGGCGGCTATAGTGGTATTTGGCGGTGGAGAGCCGACGGGTGGGCTGTAATCCAAACGGTACCAGGAACCACCCTGGCTTAGGTTGCCCGGTATCTCGATTGCGAGATCAGCCGAGTACGTGACCTGCGGCGAAACATACGGGAATTGCCGTTAATTCGCACGCGTGTATCATATCGGAATTATTAACTCTGTGGCAACGTAGCATTTGTATTAATAATAATGTATGTTTAACATACATAGGGAAGATCGAGAAGCTAACATATTATGTTATTGTAGCAAATTTCATTTGAATTATTATGTAAATAATACAAGAAAACGCTTGTTAAAAATATAAATTACTTTATTTACTGAAAACAATTTTTTGCTGAATCTGCGAATTATTTTAATAACGTATAAATTAAGTTTTAAAAAAATATATACTATACGTTTTTTATACCTGTACAATATTTTGTTTTAACAGGCAAATAGATTAAATATACGATAGCAAAAAACAATAGCAAAATTCTTATTCTCTTAGCAAAAGCCTTATTAATTTATAAACTTTGATAAATAATTAATCATGCGTATATATACAGTAGTTGATACATTGAGTTATTACGTTGAGTATGCTAGAAGCTTGAGTAAAATCAAATTATGCAGTGTGTTTCTATGCAATGATGTGGTTTTATGAGAATATGCGTACGTCTAACTGTTTCAGACAACAATGCTGAATTTCAAATTTGTCTCAACGCTTGTGTACTTTTACACGGTCTCTCTACACAATATTATAAGCATGATCCGTGAGTCAGGCTTGTGTTAGTAAGGACCCGTTATAAATCAGCAGTGTATCTTGAGTTTCAAGGTTCTGGTGTCCTTAAAGATGATGAAGAGATTGAAAAAGATTAATCTCGCAAACTATCACTTATCGCGTCATCTCGATTCTTTGTCTATCTTTATTTTCGTTTACGTAAAAAATATCGATGATGGTAAACTTGCATTCTATCATATAATAACGGTTATTTAATTCAACATAATGTATTTTTGCAAAGTATCTTGGTTCCCACGGCATGCTGTAAGTTTTGTCGACAGCGTTTAACGAAAACCACGACCTCTCTCCGTTCAACGTTTCGCTTTCTCCATTATAAAATATCGGTTATTAACTTGCGAATGCACGATTTCTTATATCTCAAGTATTTTGTTTTTATTTTTCTAAATAATAAAATACGCAACAGTCCACAAAGTTCATCTAATCATTACATTTTTTTCTTATAAAAACATTTTATAATTTTTTAAACTGACATATCAATTTTTGTAGATAAAATGCATATTATAATATTTTACTTTTATTAAATAACATTTAATAATATTTGCATAAATCTTTTCAGAATCAGCGAGAGATTAATCATTTTAAAACTAAAATATTTTAGCTGAGTGCGAAAGATTGAAAGAGAGTTGTTTATGGGAAACAAACGGTACGTTGATTTGAAATGGATATATATATATATGTGCGACTATTCATAGTTATGAATTCTGATAAACTGCGGACATATAGTATGTACATACACACTGGGAAACAGTGCGTTCCCAGAGACGTGGGAAAGATGTGAATCTATAACACTGCCGTTGACGCGTTGATGGAGAATTTACTCCAAACGACGTTTGATGTACGAACATCCAATATTCAATAATTTAATTTGTAAAGGAATAAATATCTAGCTATATTTTTTCTAAAAAAAAACATATATACGTATATACATATTTTTTATTGAATATGGAATATCCTATGCACAATCAAAATCTCCCACATATATTCAATGCAAAATTAATCTTGTACCATACATCGAACATAAAAATCGATACGACAGGAAAATCCCAGACAATTAATCAAATTTTAATTACAACTGTCAAAGGAGTAATTTGTCAATTATAATATTTATTTATAATGAAACAAGAAAAGAAAGTTGTTTTGATTTTTAGGAATTAATGTAAATTTAGAAGAAACAATTATTTATGTGGCTACCAATAAGTCTTAATATTGTATAATTTGGCATTTAATTTACTAATTAATTATTTTAATACGAGGGTTTAATGTTGATATACTAGCTTTGATTACGGGTAACAATACGATGAATCTCTCGACATTCATTCTAGAACCTAGAGCGACGAAATCACTTCTCCACACTATTCGCTCGTGACAATGTGAGGTGCATATTGATCCTTGCTCTATCTCCGTCTATCGCAACGTCTCTTTTCCCACCTTCCCTTCGCTTCTCTCAACTCTACCCCCCACAAACAAGCTTATCCCTCGTGCCCACTGTCGCATGAACAACGACAAAAACTTCTAATTATACAAAGAAGAGCTGAATAGCTCGCCGGCGAGCTTGAAAGGAAAAATCAGAAAATGCATAGCTGATGAGAGGTATTTCACGTAAATATCATTTATTTCGAAATATTGAAAAGACAACAAATATTTCAATAATTCGTAATTGAAATTATATGGCACGCACACATTGACGATGATTAAAGATATATGCGAATAATGTATTCAAAAAAGCGATGCAAAACTCCAGCAAATCATTACCGTTATGATAAAAAAATTTTTAGTAAAATTATATTCCGCAAAAAGAACCATTGTACAATATTAGCTGTATTATTAGCGAGCATTACGTTGGATTGTCGTTTAAAAAAAAAAAATAAATCCATTTCTGACATCCATATGAGTCAGGCGCGAATACAAGCCAGCGTGACCCGTAGATCTGCGTCATTCGAGAGAAAAAAAAAAGATAATGTACGGATGTAACTTAAACTCCCGTCATATGGTACGCGATCTCGCAATGCGAAGCATCGCGGCTGGCACGACTCATTCCATCATAGACAGCTGTTCGTCATGAAACTCTGAAACAACAACGTTGGACGAGCAGCTCGGAGCAGCTGCAGTTCCGCGCAGTTCATATTAAATTATCGCGAGGAGGAAAAACCGCATTCTATCTCTCTCTTATCAATATCCTGGTCTGCTTGTTCTAGAAATACATTAAAGTTTCCTCGTATACAATTACGTTCAATTTTAATGTAGTTTCTCATTTTTTTTTTCACACACACGTTTCACTGGAAAGCTCGATCTTCTCATGTATGACGACGGGCGTTTAAGTCCTATCGCTCCTGGTTAAGATCTTGAAAGTAAAAAGAAAGTGGCATCCATCGCGGCTCTCGATCGCGAGTAGCGCCCGTCATTTCCGGTTGACCGTTGTCACGCGTCTCGTGCGATTCTCGACCTCGAGCAGTTTTCGTTCATGTTCAATGTGCGTGGAAGTAGGTAGGTAGAAATGTGGAAGTGACGCGTGTCCGTGACACTCCATCAGCGACGCGTCCGTGACACTTTGTAATGCGTACCGCTCGTCACCCTTTCGTATATATATATATCCGCCTTAGTATCCTGTTATTAGAGTATCCAATGGGTTTTGACTCGTTTTTTGACGCGGATCAAGCAGGTCATGTGTACGCAGTTTATCTCACAAATACTAAAATTGTAGATTGTTTCGAATATATCTCCTAATTACGAGTAACCGAAAAGGAATTTTTTCTTTCTTAAATACCGATATAATCCTTTGGAAATATTGACATAATATGACATTGAAATTATATGATTACACAAAGATATCAATATGGTATCATTACATCATATTATTTAATTGAGCGCAAGAAGATAATATCGATAATAACAAGATAAATATAGCAAGTGCGTTCTGTGATGAATCACGATTATTCTCTATCCGGTGCATTATGTCGACATCGGAATTGGCGGACTGCATCCTCCATCACATTATTCAGTATCGTATATTGTCTTTGTCATTATTTCCTTCTCTTGAAAAGTTTCTATTAAAATTCTTTTTCGCTCTGACCAATTGTTTATGCGCAAATAAAAGGATATTGGAATAAAGGTAAGAGATACGTTTTTCTGCTATATATACTTCGGCTTCACTTTTTTTTTTAATCCAAGCTAGGTGAGATAAATTCTCGTTGTAAATTTTGTCTCGTGTATTAGCTACGGCGACAAGCTGTTTGGTCGACGTAGCGAGACAGGAATCCAATATTCCCTTTGTCTCCCTAGATCCAAGAGGCAGGACCAAAGGTACAAATACACGGAACGCATTCTGGTTCATGGACGAGTTTCGAATCCGTAAATAAGTGAGACGTGATCGTGCATGGAATAGCAGAAACGAGCGGGCCAGTCTGGGAAAAAAATTCCAACAAACAAACAACGTTGCGAACAAAGAATGTCCCGACAGAAATAAAAGTTGTTTTACAGTGGCTTGAAAATGAAATCGCTGTACAAACTATAAGAGTAACACGGCACGTGTTTCAAACTTATCTTGTTAATTAGTTTCTTTCGAGTTGATGGATTTTCATTACACAAACTATTTAGGTAACACGAGAAAAACATTAAGCTTTCTAAAATTATTATATTTTAATAATACATATATCATATATTCGCTAATAAATTCAATAATAAACGTGGAATTTCTTTTTACTAGACTTTATTCGAGATTATATTTTTTAATCTCTTTTTAATTCTTAATAATTATATTGTTTAAATCAAGACTTTTTTAAAATCCAAATGTGTTAGTAGCTACTTTTCACATTTCTTTCTATAATTGTGTTAAGATATATTTTATGCAAATGAACAGATACATAGTACAGTCTCTTCAGAAAACATACGATACATGTAAATATATGAAGAGTGCTATCGCTTTGTCCCTGTATGTCCCTATTGTGAGCATATTCAAAAAAAATTCAGAATATATCGTAGGCCCAGCCGCCCAGATCGCTTTATTCGTACAACGAGAATGAAGAAAGAAACTCGTTTACGAGTGTGCACTTGAAAGATTCTAAGTAGCTCGCGTGCTTCATCATCTTTACCCCTTGCAAAACCTGTTGCACGACCTTGTTCGATTCGTGTATGGTAATCTCCCTTTTCTCCCTTTTAATCGCATTCGATAATTTCATATATAATTTATTATAAGTATAATTAAACAAATCTGTTACGCGCTTTCGATTATTCATACGTGTTTCATGATAATATTTATTTTATCAAATTATGTGCTATTTGTGATACCAAGTATCGCGAGCAAAGTTATTTTCGTAAT